TTTACTAATTTATCGATATATTAATTAAATCAAAAACTTAATTTGAAACTATAAAATTATATTATTTTACAGAAATTTTAGTGTATATTAATTTATAGAGTATTAATGAATAGAGATTATAATGTAGCTCTTGTTTTTTTTTTAAAGATACTATATGGTTTGATTATGATTTTCGGGACATTTATATTATGTAGCAGACATTATCTAATAGTTTAAAGATATATTGCTAGTAAACTAAAAGTAATTGATTGTTTCCCAATAATAATTTACAAATGAAAAAATTAAATTTGTTTGGAACTTAAAAGTGTATGAGTTTTAAGTCTATGAGTTTTCTGCTAGTTTTGTAAGCTTTTATTACAAATTAGAATGTAACTGTTCAAAAGTTAAAGGTCATATTCGTACAACTTTTTGTTGCCTATTCCTGGCTTTAAGCCTTTAAACATAAATAAAAGTTAGTCCAACCACAGAGAAGCTCTTAATCAAATTTATGAAGACACATAACTTAAACAACAACAAAAAATATTCCATTAGACTTCTTGAAAGTACTTAGAAATTTAACAGAAACAATACAAAAAGGCGAAGTATTGATTTGCAGAAATTTCCTCACGTCAACCACCAAATTTCTCTAAGCAAGAACAGCGCTTTGGATATTCAAACCTCCTCGAAACTAAACCAATATTGAAAACAACGTGCTCACTAATAAAATTCATATCCGGTCCGAATTAACAAAACCTGAACCGACGCGATCATAACCTTCTAAATATGCTCCATGCAGAACTCACAAACAACTCAAAACACTCTATTATGATTTAATTGTTTTGTAAATCAAATAAATGAAGTACTATATGCATCATATATCAACTTAAATTAATGTTCAAATTTTAGCCAAAAAAAAAAAACTTAAATTAATGTTTATAGTGTTTTCTTGTCCTGCGGTTTAAAAATTTAAATGTTAAATAACCTGCACATTTGTTCAAAGTCAATAGCATGTACATTTAGAGATATTTTTTCCTTTAAATATCTTAGCACAGTTTTTTTTTTTGTAACAGGTGTCTATACCTTTAAATCATTTTTACATCTACAGTATAAATCATTTTTAAATTACACAATAATATTTTTACACTTACGACTCAACTAATCATCAAAATAATTTAACCCCCAAAACGCTTTATAAATAAGCCCACGCAACACAAACAAATCACTCAAAAGTTAAAACACTCTACATAAAATCATTTCTCTCATAATCTCTCTCAATGGCTTCTAACCACAATAAGCTTACTTCTTCAAGAGTAGCGATCATCGGTGCTGGTGTCAGCGGTTTATCAGCCGCTAAGCACTTAGCTCATCACAACCCGATCGTTTTCGAAGCCTCGGATTCGGTTGGAGGTGTTTGGAAGAGCTGCAGTTACGAGACGACTAAGTTACAATCGGCTCGAGTCGATTACGAGTTCTCTGACTTTCCTTGGCCCAATAGAGATGATACAACTTTCCCATCTTACGTTGAGATATTGGATTACTTGGAATCTTATGCTAAGCATTTTGATCTCCTCAAGTTCATGAAGTTTGGTTCTAAAGTCATCGAAGTTAGGTACACCGGTGACGGTGACGCTTTACAGATGGATGACCTCGGTGGTGCTTACGGCAGCGTGTTGCCCGGAAAACCTGTATGGGAAGTTGCTGTTCATAACGGAGATGCTGGAGATATTCAGGTTTTTCTTAATTGTTCATATATATTTACTTTTGTATTATATATTTCATCAGATCCCTCTTCATTCTCTTTTTTTTTCATTTTAAATTATTTAAACGAATATTTTATTAAGAACTTTGTATCTCAAACTATAGCTTAAACAATTAATCTCTATATGTTAGTTATAATATCCATGTAACACTTTTGTTGTTGTGAACAATAAGTTTCAATATGCAGATGAACGAGTTTTTTGTTGTAGTTACAACTTAAATATATTTGTAGTCTAAAATTTGTAAAGAACGTCCAAACAATTTTTGTAAACTATTGCATGCATCAGTATATTAACTCGAGTTACCTCTTCGTCTTATTCTTCTTCTTTTTTTTCTGTAATTTTTTGTTATTACGTCTATTTGTGAATCATTGGATGATATTTTTAAACATGTGTGTAGTGGCATGCATTTGAGTTCGTGGTAGTGTGCACCGGAAAATTCGGCGACGTACCAAGAATACCGACGTTTCCAGTGAAGAAAGGGCCGGAAATATTTAAAGGCAAAGTGATGCATTCGATGGACTACTGCAAGTTAGATAAAGAAGAAGCTTCTGATCTCCTCCGTGGCAGGAAAGTTGCCGTCATTGGCTTCAAGAAATCCGCCATTGATTTGGCTTTAGAGTCTGCTTTAGCCAATCAAGGTATAAATTTTATATATTCTTTCTTTTACAAAGTCCAACCTGATCCTCATCGATTTAGTCCAAAAGACTTATCAATCTTTGTCCAAACATTCCAAATCAAATATAACAATTATATCTAGTTAGAATGTTAAATATGCCATTTATACCCGGCTGGAGGAGTTAGTTAATTAATTAAAAATTTATGATTTTTAGGATCTGAATTCTCATACCAATTCTTAACTCATACATAATTTTTTTTTCTTGATTTGGACTGTTAATTCCGACTGGCACAATTTAAATAATTGCTTAATTTTGGTGGCAAGCGACATGATTTATTTTATCCTTATACCATTTAAAAAAAAAAATTGCAGGAGAAGGAGGACAAGCATGCACGATGGTGGTGAGAACGACTCATTGGGTGTTCCCACATTATTGGGTGTGGGGTCTACCATTCTTCTTGTTCTACTCTACGAGAGCTTCCCAATTCCTTCATGATAGGCCTGGCCAAAGCTTCCTTAGAACTCTCTTTTGCTTCCTATTTTCTCTTCTGGTTTGTGGTCTTAAAATTTAGAAACTACATAATTTTATTTTTATGTTGATTTTCTAAGTTTTTTTATCTATGACATAATTCAGCGTGCCGTGGTTTCCAAATTTATCGAATCATATGTTTCGTGGAAGCTTCCTCTAAAAAGGTATGGTCTTAAACCGGACCATTCTTTTGAAGAAGACTATGCTTCTTGTCAAATGGCGATCATACCGGGGAATTTCTTCAAGGAAGCGGATAAGGGTATGATCCGGTTTAAGAAAACATCAAAATGGTGCTTTTATGATCAAGGGATTGAGTTTGAGGATGGGACTACGCTAGAAGCTGATGTTGTGATACTTGCAACTGGTTATGATGGCAAGAAGAAGCTTAAGGCCATTGTTCCTGAACCCTTTCGAACTTGGCTTGAGTTTCCTTGCGGTGTTATGCCTCTATACAGGTACATACAGTTACAATATCGCCACCATAATACTATTTGATACCTTGTGCAAATTGAATCATTAGCAAAGTCCATATAGTAATATTATTAAACGTCAACTCAGTTACCTACATTCTTATAATACTTACGACTTTGGCACGTTAATGCTTATAATACCAAACCTAAATTTCAGGGGAACAATCCATCCATTGATACCAAACATGGGCTTCGTGGGATACGTTCAAAGCAACTCAAACCTACACACATCAGAGCTACGTTCCCTGTGGTTAAGCCGGCTAGTGGATGGAAAATTCAAATTACCGAGCAAAGAGAAAATGTTGGAACAATTCTTCAAGGAGATGGAAGTGATGAGACGATCAAGCAGATTCTATAAACGTCATTGCATTTCTACTTTCAGCATCCAACATGCCGATGATTTGTGCAAGGACATGGGACTCAATCCTCGGCGTAAATCCAACTTGTTCCTCGAAGCCTTTAGTCCTTATGGTTCTCAAGATTATCGACTGGATCAAGAAGAAACCAATATTTGAATATAATTAACAATGAAAAAATATAACGAATTATTACATTTGATGGATGATGTATCATGACTATTGCGTAAAATAAAACTGTGTTGGTGAGTCATTGAATAATCATGTATGTATGACGACATGAGCTTTTTAGATTAATTTTAATACTCTTTTAATTATTTTTTAACGTTGAGAGCATCTTAACGCTGAGATACCTATATAAATCTTTAACATAATATATATTTAATGTTGTCAGGAAAAATATAATATATCTTTAATACAGTTTGTTATCTTTAATATCAAATCAGTCATAACAAAACATGTTGAGAGTCTTATTGGATCACTATATGAGATGATTCATTTTTCTTTCAAAACATGTATCTAGCATTATAAATTCTATATGAAATCCAAGTTTATTTGATTAGTCATTTGTATAAGCTCTCTCAAAATTATAGTTTATTAGAAAATATGAAGTTTGTCAATAAAATTTATTAAATGGGATTTGGATGATATTTTTCCGTGAAAAAAACAATGAATCAAAATATCACCTCTTTGTGATGATATTTGAAATGTTTTAAAGAAAATTAAACTGTTCGAGATGAAATAGTAAATAAAATAATATTTTAAAATCGATTTTTAAAGTTTATATATTTTATACATTTCATAAAAAATAAAAATCAAATTCAGGTAATTTAAAAGTTAATTTAAAAAAAATATTTAAAATTTAAAAGATTTTTTTCAAAAGTTCTGAAATTTTCTTCAAAGACCCTTAAAACTTGTAATATTTTTTTTAAAAGTTTACTCAAATTTCGTATTTTTTTGGATTTACTTAAATCTTGATTTTATTTTCCAAATCCATGATCCATTAAGCCGCACGTAGTCGAGAAATATTTCAATAAATCCTCAAGTATATAGAATTGAAAAGGTACTCAATGTCTATTTAAATATAAAAGTAAAACTTCAATCTAAAAAGTCACTCAGATACTATCATTAGAGATGCTATGAAGATACAAGTAAATTAACAATATCAATTTTGGTATTGATTTCACAATCTTACATCTTAGTTAAAAGCGTTTCTTTCCGACTAGCAAATAAATTTCCATTATTTTATTTATTTTTATCTAGAAATTAAAAACAAACAAAAACTAAATTTTAAGTTTCTTCTTGATCAAATCGATAATCTTCAGAACCATAAGGACAAAATACGTCATGGAACAAGTTGGATTTTCGCCAAGGATTGAGTCCCATGTCATTACACAGATCATCAACATGTTGGATAATGAAAGTAGAAAAGCAGTGGTTTATATAGAATCTGCTTGACCTTTTCATCACTTCCACTTCTTTAAAGAATTGGTCCAACATTTTCTCCTTGCTCGGTAATTTAAATCTCTCATCCATGAGCCGGTTTAACCACATGGAACTTAGCTCTGCGATGCGTACGTTCCAGTTACTTTGAACGTATCCCACGAAGCCCATGTTTGGTATCAGTGGATGGATTGTTGCCCTAAAATTATTGATTAGTATTTGCTATTATAACCAACGGTTGAGTTTCAAATTAGCATAAAATTAATATACATAGGGTTCAATTGCGTAGCAACGGATTAGCTTTTCAGTTACAATATCGGTTTGATCTATTCAACTTAAAAATAAAAATAAACTAGATTTTAGTGAAGTACCTGTACAAGGGCATGAGACCGCATGGGAACTCAAGGCAAGTTCGAAAAGGTTCAGGAATAATGGCTTTGAGTTTCTTGTCTCCATCATAACCAGTGGCGAGTAGCACAACATCAGCTTCTAGCGTAGTCCCATCCTCAAACTCAATCCCTTTATAATAAAAGCACCATTTTGATGTTTTCTTAAACCGGATCATCCCTTTATCTGCTTCTTCAAAGAAAGTATCCGGTACTAACGCCATTTGACAAGATGCATAGTCTTCTTCAAAAGAATGGTCCGGTTTAAGACCATATTTATTTAGAGGAAGCTTCCACATAACATATGATTCAATGAATTTGGAAACCACAGCACGCTGTTGTTTATGTTTACAAGAAGTTTAGACAATCCACATAAAGTTGTGCAATTTATAGATGCAAAATTTAAGATCACTAACCAGAAGAGAGAACAAGAGGTAAAAGAGTTTTCTAAGGAAGCTTTGGTTAGGCCTCTCATGGAGGAACTGAGCAGCTCTAGTTGAGTAGAACAAGAAAAATGGTAGGCCCCAAATCCAGTAATGCGGAATCACCCAATGTGTTGTTCTCACCACCATTGTGCATGCTTGTCCTCCTTCTCCTGCAAGATTTAAATACATTGTTTTTTTTTTGGGAATCATATTAATTTTATATTTAATTGATGGAAGTGAAGTAAATTATATTGGAATATTTTAATCCGTTGCAAACTTGTGACAACGGTTTAATTGTGCCAAATAGAATCAAGATCCAAGTAGAACCAAAAACTATCTTACAGATTCTGATACTATATATGGTAAATCACTGAAATAGTTATGGACTAATTGGAGCAACCCCCTTAATTGTAATCAAGTTGAAATATATATGTATATATATACCTTGATTAGCTAAAGCAGACTCTAAAGCCAAATCAATGGCGGATTTCTTGAAGCCAACGACGGCAACTTTCTTGCCCTGAAGGAGCTGAGAAGCTTCTTCCTTCTCTAACTTGCAGTAATCCATCGAATGCATCACTTTCCCTTTGAATATTTCCGGCCCTTTCTTTGCTGGAAACGTCGGTATTCTTGGTACATCACCATATTTTCCGGTACACATGACTACGAACTCAAATGCATGCCACTACACATACACACAATGATTCACAAATAGACGTAATTAACCTCGATTTAATGATGGTTTTAAGAATATGAATAGCTTTTTTCCCGTAGTTTGGCAATTAAACAAAATGTTACCAAAATGTGTTCAGACAAGAAAAGCAATGTTACCAATAAGAGCCCAAGTATTGACAACAACAAAATCTCCGATTCACATACATATTCAAGAAACTCTTTTGGCCACAACAAATTTTAAATGGCTGCCGAAAGTCTAGAAATTAGTTTAGGATTTAATAGAATCAATAAGTTATTATAGAAATGTACGTACAAGATAATAATTATTATTATTTTTGAATGAAAATTATATATGAGAAAGCAGATGGATCTGCATGATACATATACATAAGCAAATATATGAGAACGAAGAATGTAAAAAGAATTAAAAAAAAACCTGAATATCTCCAGCATCTCCGTTCTGAACAGCAACTTCCCAAACAGGTTTTCCTGGCAACAAGTTACCGTAAGCACCGAGGCCAAACATCTGTGGAGCTTCAACTTCACCAGTGAACCTAAGTTCGATGACCTTAGAGCCAAACTTGATGAACTTGAAAAGATCAAAATGCTTAGCATAAGATTCCAAGTAATCTAGTATTTCAACGTAAGTTGGGAAAGCAGTATCTTTCCTATCGGGCCAAAGAAAGTCAGAGAATTCGTAACTTGCTCGAGGCGATTGTAACTTCGTCGACCCGTAAGCGCAGCTCCTCCAAACACCCCCGACCGAATCCGAGGCTTCGAACACGGTCGGGTTATGTCGAGCTAAGTGTTTAGCAGCTGCTAAGCCACTGACACCAGCACCGATGATCGCTACTCTTGAAGAAGTAAGCTTATTGTGGTTAAAAGCCATTGAGAGAGATTATGAGAGAGAGAGAAAGAAAAGGTTTTATTAAGAGTGTTTTAACTTTTTCGTGATTTGCGTGTTTGCATGGGCAAAGCATTATAAGGCGTTTTTCTGGTTGGATTTTTATCACTTTTTAAAGAATAAAACCACTTATAATTAAACACTAGGTGATTTTCCCGTGCTCATGCACGGGTATAAATATTTTTAAAGTAAATATATGATAATAATTGATTGCTATTTATTTTTAATTTTAAATTAATTTATAACTTCTATGCATCATTTATATTAATAATATTATATTACTTTAACTATACTATAATTTTATATATGTTATCTAGTCGATTTTGTTGTTTTTACGGTTGATTTAATTATCATTTAGATAAATTGGATTGCATCTATGAACTTAAATGTAATATTTTTTAAAATATATTAATTTTTAATTAATTACTTATTTTCATATAGTGGGCGTTGTCTTAGATATGTAAATATAATTTAGAAAAAAATAACTAAAGTGTATGATTCCAAAATACGTAAATTAATATAACAATAATATAGTAAAGTCTTATGCATATATATAAATTTTACAAAAGAACTAAAAGTGTAGGTTATTATTTATTTTCATTTGTTAATATGTTTTGAATTATCCTATGATCAATAGAAGGTTACATGCATAAGTAGTTGATACATTTTTGGAAGTTCATGAACATATATCAATATTATAATAAATAAAATATTTATAAATTCTAAATAATTTTATGCTTTAGATTTATTGAATGAAAAATGAAATTTATTTTAAATGATTTTAAAATTGGGAATTCATATTTGCTTTGGTATCTTGATTATCATTATATCTAGTTTCACAAACATAAAAACATAAAATTTAAAAGAAAATCTATTATTAAAAAAAAAAAATTTAATAATGATAAAATATCATATATCTAGCTCATTAAACTAATTGTTAATTATTTGATCAAGCGATGTTTAGTGTTAAATTTATTTTTAGTTTTTAATATCTCTTAAAAATAAGCATTACACAAAATTGTGATTGTATTTGAAAACAAAATTATATAAGTAAAATATAATTTATAGATAATTTTCTGTAATTGAAAGATATTATAGCCAACTAAATATATGAAAAATAAATAAAAAATCAATAATACTAATTATAAATTATTTTTATTACTNAATATCTCTTAAAAATAAGCATTACACAAAATTGTGATTGTATTTGAAAACAAAATTATATAAGTAAAATATAATTTATAGATAATTTTCTGTAATTGAAAGATATTATAGCCAACTAAATATATGAAAAATAAATAAAAAATCAATAATACTAATTATAAATTATTTTTATTACTCTAAAAGTATATTTTATGTTATTAAAAATATTTTTAAATGTATTATTACTATTTTGTGAACTTTCCTTTTTTTTTTATGAAATCATAATATATACGTATATTTTCGTTTTTGAATTTGTTATATGACTTTATAAAAAATTTCCTTTTTATTACATATATTTTTGGAAATTTTTGAAAAGGAAACTAAACAAAAAAAATTAATAATATTATTTTTAATTATTTTTAATTCATTAAGGGTATCAGTGTAATCAACCATCATGAGAATGAATGTGAGAGCGACACATAGGAAACTGACTTCTCAAATAATATTATAGAGATGTGGCAAAGGGAATTCTGATGCATATCTAGCAAAATCTTGTTTGATAAACTTTGGGTTTAAAAAAAAAAAAAAAAAAAAAACTTTGGGTTTGTTTCCTTGTTTCTTTATTTATTTTTCTCTTATTGCTTAGATACTTAAAGGAAAGGATATCTCTGAATGAACACATGCTATTGACTTTGAACAGATGTACAAAATAAATACAATTTTATTTACAATAGAAATAATGGACAAGCATATAGTGATAAAAAATGTAACTACTCACCATGATGTTTTGGTTAAGTGATCAAAGGATTCAAGCTGAAATTACCGCCACCTGATTCAATTCAAATTAGCAGAGATTATTTACAATAAGCAAATTCATTTAAAAAAGGTTTTGGACTGGAACAAACTTGTTCTAAACCACACTTCAGATTGATAAGAGAGTTATAAAGTGGAGTTTGACATATTAATACATAAATTTGTCATAATTTGTTTTATTTTTTTTTCAATTTTTAGAAATATAAAAATACATATATTTAACCATTAATATTTTCTCTATATAATATATTTTTTATTTATTTTACATGTGTAGTATTTAGTTACATAATAAATAAAGAAAATGATTAATTTAAGTTTTTAGGTACATAATTTTTATTTTTTACATTATATAAATAATATATGTTTAAATTATATTTAACAGATAAATTGTTAGTATTATACAAATTTAGAACTATAATTTATTTAAGTTTGAAAAAATAAATATCTTTATTTTGTACTCCCTTTGTTTCGAATTAATTGTCATTCTAGAGAAAATTGTTTTAAAATAAGTGTCCTTTTATAGTTTCGAGTCAAATTTATTAATTTTATATGATATTTTATTTTGTATTGGTTGAAAAGTGGTTATGTGTATAAATAATTGTGTTTTAACTTAAAAATATAAAATTTAATGTTTCTTAATCTGTGTGCAAAAACCTATAACGACAGATAAAGTTAAATGAAATGAGTATTTCATACCAGGTATCATTCAAATAGTTATTTCATAGCGCATTGGTTACTGTTCAAGTTTTATTATATACAATTTTTTATTTTAATTGTTCATATTTACGCATACACATTTTTTTATAACAAAACCACACTAGCACCGTAACACACTTTACTTTCCGGTTGACCTGTACCACCTAATATGTTGTTGCTATTCAAAATTTTAATTTTTTAATTACAGGACAAAAAAAATTACTTAATATTAAATGCAGTTCATGTGATGCATATAGTACCTCATTATTTGCATTAAAAACAAAATGAAATCATAAATCATTTGCATAAAATTAATACTAGATATTAATTTGTTGAATCTGCAGAGAAGAAGAAATTTTGTTAGGCATATTGAGGATCAATGCATGTTGTTTTTTATCATCAAAATAACATACTCTATCAAAACTTTATAACTAACTAAAACTCAATGTTGACACGGTTGTTTTTTTTTATCCTATTAATTATTTTTAAAATAGATCCACTTAACTTCTTTTTTCACTTTCAAACCAAACACAAATTCTCTCAAAATATGGTTTAATACTTTTTTCAGTTTTCCATTTTTATTAAAATTTTATTTTAAAATATGTTAATATATTATTTTAAAATTACGTTAATGCATGTTAATGTAAAAGTATATTTAGTTTACATATTTATATTCATTATTATTACATTTTTAATAAGCAATCCAATATTCCAATTAAATAAATTAGTTTGATCAGTTACATCTTAATTTGTTATATATATTATTTGATCTGCAGATTATGACCGATCTTTTTATTTATTTTATTTTTACTGCAAGAAGTTGTGAACCAAAATCCATAATTTTTTTGGGATAAAATAAAAAGCTGGCTGTTAATATTTTTCGTCGTAACTGTTGACATTCGAATCTAACATCTACAACCTTAGAGCTGGCTGTTAATTTTTTTCGTCGTAACTGTTG